GTGTGTGTGTGTGTGTGTGTGTGTGTGTGTGTGTGTGTGTGTGTGTGTGAGAGAGTGATCCCATCCAGAGTCAAACCAAGACCCCATCTGGCTCTGGTGCTGGTCTGTGCTTCACGGTGCCTCAGCCTGATTCATGGGGCGATGGACAGCTTCAGCTGCTCTCCCACTTCCACTCTTTTACATCCCATGACCCCCCCCCCCACACACACACACACACAAAAAATTACTCTCATACCTCCCAGCCCTCACTGCTCTCTCACAGCCTGACAAACTTTGCACAGACACAATATTTCCCTGAGTAGCAGAATACTTTAAAAAGTTGGCTATCATCTGCATCTGTCTCTGTCCATCTACTTTGTAAAAACCCTGCTTGTTCCTCATCTGCTCCATTTCTTTCTCTCAGAGATTACCAACACACCTACGTAAGATGGTCTGTGCAAAATCAAGCGAGTTTTTTTTTCTCCTATTCTCTTTGTTTTACTTCGCTCAGCATCTCCGTTAGTCCCTCTCTTTACTTGTCTTCTCAGTTTTCACACTCATCAAAATGACAAAACCACAAGTGCAGCCTTCCCAGTTTGGCTGAGTGTCGGCCAAGCCTCACGGCATTGGCTGCGCAGCGCCTCAACCGTTCTGTTGCTCAACCCCCCACCCCCCGAGCCACGAGGAGCTCATGACGTCTCAGATTTGCACTCACAGGAACTCGGCTGTCAGTCACACAGCAGAACTGCGGAGCTCATGAAAAGACAAAGGAATATAACTCCCATGAATTATGAATGGGTATTGACAGCTGGATGGGATTCAGCTTGTGGGGATGTGACCACCTACGAACTCTAACGCGATGCAGGAGGTGCATAAACCTCTGCTGCACTTCTACAGCAAGAAAAGTTTAACTGTTAACTGAACACAAACCCTCATGAGATGCAGTTTGTCTTTTTTTCACCTGTAAAAATGTTTATCTCTAAGAAGATTTTTTATTTTGTTGAATAGCACAGGTGTCAAACTCAAGGGCACTGCATTTTTTGTGCCCTGAAAGAACTTCAAAGATGTCTACAAATAAGCTGATTTAACACCAACCGCTGCTCCTCCACTCAAAAGGAGACAGTTGAGGTGGTTCACGTATCTGGTAAGGATGCCTCCTTAGGGTTGTGATTCAGGCATGTCTAACTACAGTGTTGTATAAAGTACTACAAAGTGATACTTGAGTAAAAGTACAAGTATCTTACCAAAAATTTACTAAAAGTTAAAGTCTCCTTTAGGAATATTACTTGAGAAAGTAAGTCTTAAAGTATCTGATATTTTTGTACTTAAGTATTAAAAGTTAAAGTATTGATTTAAAATGAGCAGTTAGATTTTCTGTAATGACATTTATTGGGAGGTGACCTCCCCAAAAACTGCAGAAATGACTGTTGTATTAAAATAATTAATTTATGTTAAATTGAGGATGCACTAGTCTAGTTGTTTCGGTCTGTATACAATTAGGTTCATATACATTTGGACAGAGACAACTTTTTTCTAATTTTGGTTCTACACATTACCACAATAAATTTTAAACAAAACAATTCAGATGCAGTTGAAGTTCAGACTTTCAGCTTTAATTCAGTGGGTTGAACAAAATGATTGCATAAAAATGTGAGGAACTAAAGAATCTTTCAAACTCAATCCCTTCATTTCAGAGGCTCAAAAGTAATTGGACAGATTAAATAATTGTAATAAAATGTTCACCGGTTCAAATCTCGGTCCGGGGACCTTTCTGGGTAGAGTTTGCATGTTCTCTCCGTGCATGTGTGGGTTCTCTCCGGGTACTCCGGCTTCCTCCCACAGACCAAAAACATGACTGTTAGGTTAATTGATAACTCTAAATTGGCCCTAGGTGAGAGTGAGAGAGTGAATGGTTGTTTGTCTCGTTTGTCTCTATGTGTGGCCCTGTGATGGACTTGCGACCTGTCCAGGGTGTACCCCGCCCCTCGCACTGTGACTGCTGGATATGGGCACCAGTGACCCACGCAACCCTGAAAAAGAAGAAGCGTGTACAGAAAATGGATGGATGGATAAAATGTTCATTTCTAGTACTTGGTTGAAAACTTTGTTGGCAATGACTGCCTGAAGTCTTGAACTCATGGACATCACAAGACGCTGTGTTTCCTCCCTTTTAATGCTCTGTCAGGCCTTCAATGCAATGGTTTTCAATTGCTATTTGTTTGTGGGCCTTTCTGTCTGAAGTTTAGTCTTTAACGAGTGAAATGCATGCTCAATTGGGTTGAGATCAGGTGAATGACTTGGCCATTCAAGAATATTCCACTTCTTTGCTTTAATAAACACATGGGTTGCTTTGGCTTTATGTTTTAGGTCATCTGAAGTAGAAAGTACAGATAATTGTGTGAAAATGTAAGAAGTACAAGTAAAAAGTAGGCTGAAAAATAATTACTCAAGTAAAGTACAGATACCCAAAAATTCTACTTAAGTATAGTAACAAAGTATTTGTACTTTACAACTCTGTCTAACTGGGAGGAGACCCTAGGGAGGATCCAGGAAACGCTGGAGAGACTATTGCCTCATTCACAAAACCAGCTCAGTCCAGGGACTGCCCTGTCTTTCTCGACTCATTCAGAAAAAATACAGAGGCGGCAAGAGGGGTAGAAGAGAGCCTGCCTCTGACACTATCTGAGCCACCAAGGGAGGCAGTATTAGGGGCAGGCTGACTTGTGTAAAAAAAACATGGCTCAAAAAATGAAAATGAACAAATGACATCAGGGAGCGACCACAGGATTAATCAACAGCCAGATTTATTATCAAGAAATATTGAAGATGGAGCCTAACAGAAACACTGTAGCTAGTTTTAAAACTATTGAACAACAGGTTCGCTAAAGTAAGACAATTCAGTTTGTTTTGTTTGATGTGAGGCAGACGTCCGTCATTCAATAAATGCGTTGCAGTCCACTTCAGCCAAACTGAGATCTGCTCCACTCCTCTGTTGGTTCCACACTACATGTGAGTGGGAACTGGTCAGCTTCACCTGTGATTTATGAATGACCTGAGGGAGCTTAAAGATGGTCTGATGGGAGAATTTAGGGAACTATCTTGTGAAAGAGGCTTCGGTCTCCTGGCTGGCTCCAGGAACAATTGGAATCCTCCCAGAAGAGCTGGAAGAGGTGGCTGGAGAAAGAGAGGTCTGGGCCTCACTGCTCAAGTTACTACTGTCACAACCTGATTCGGAATAAGCAGAAGATAAGGGTGGATGGAACAAGAAGTATCCAAAATACAAAAAAAAAAAAAAAAAAGAGCTGGAACCGTTGTCTGGTTAGGAAAAGTTGGGAAATGTATCAGTATTGAATGACTGTATTAATGTGATGGAAAGAAAAGGCTTGCTTAAAATAAGTAAAAGGTGTGAAATCAAAGAGTGTGTATGAGGAGGGTCTGCTGACAGGTGTCTGTGTGGCTCCAGATGACTGTCAGGACAGATTAAATCTGGATAAAAACTCCTACAGGATCTCTGTACAAACTTTAGATGTTTTCAGTAGTTCAATATTTGAGCCTGCAGGCAATGCTCAATTGTGTTCCCCACTGCCACACAACTCCAGCGTGTCATTGGACCATGATATTACTGCTTTAAAACCTGTGTTGTATACTGACTGATCCTGAATGTGTTTTGTTCAGCTTTTGATGTTTCCTGTTCAGACTAAGTTTCTACACTAAAAGCAGCTCTGAGTGTGATGATTAAGGCCTTCCTGTGATTCCTTCCTGTTGCTGATCGCCCCACCTGTTGGCAGTTTCCACTAATAAGCTCCAGGGCTTCAAAAGATCCACTTGGCCTCTTGGTCTTTGCTGATGCATCACACCATTTGGGTAGTGTTCTGAGGCCTTTTGACTTTAAGCTAAACTAAAAGTTTAAAGTACTTACCTGCCTTTTCGATCTTGTTTTAGGTTCATTCACCAAGACGTCTTCCGTGCACCAGGACTGCTCAGTTTAGATTTTCCACCACAAGGATCTGCCACAAGGGATTTCACTGGTTAAAATTTTATATTAGCCACTCTGCCTGAAGATTTTTGTCACTCACCTTTTGGATTAAACTCCCTCCTGGACCGACTTCACTTTCTCCAACCTGTAAGAAAAGAAAGATTATTATGATTATGATGATGATGAACTCATATTGTCTCATTAAGACTCAAGTTATTTTGGACTCACCTGGATTCTACCCTCCATTTCAGGATTGATGACCAAAACTTGCCAACACCTGTAAATAAAACTCTTACCCTTTATTGCTGAGTCTGACTTCATAGTGTTTATGTCACTGAGCTTCAGAGCAAACTTTCCTTCTTGTAGATTTGCTCAACTTTTCTTTGTTTTGCAAACTGTAAATTCCTCCAAAATTTGGAATTTCTTCATTCTTCCTCCCCTTACCGCCTGATCTGCATCACCATCCTCGGTTTTTCTTCTTTCTCTGCAGAGAAACACGTTCCAAGTTGTATTTTAGTTTCTGCTGACACACACAAAACACTGGACATATTGTCTCCAAGCCTCTGCTCACAGCATCATGTGAGGCCACAAAATGTGAAGTCAGTCCTGCGATCACAAAACTGTTGGCTGCTGTGCCTCATTCTGCAAACGCGAAACTGGTCAACATCCACCAGTTGTCTGAAATTAAATTAGAAAACTGTAGCAGTGCAATAAAAAGCAAGCATAACTACATTTAGAATGACTACATTTTTACAGACATGTTGGGTCACAGGACAACGTGAATAATCCACTTATTAAACCAACCTTAATTCAACTCTGTCTCTGTCAGCTTCACATTTAAAGTAATTCATTTTAAGCTGAGCATCTTTTCTATGAGTTATGGGAAAACTTTGTGAGATGCAGCTTTTATACAACTTATGGTGTTGTTTTTATTCTGTGCAGGTTTTTCAACAATTAATGGTAATTAATTCTATATATGTCACAGCTTTTCTAAAGTTTAGAGTAATTTTCTGCTGCACAGATTTTCTAGAATTTTTGTCCAATGTTTCATGACTTTTCAATAGTTTATGGAAATTTGATAATGGCTGTATTGTGTTTTTTTTTGTTTGTTTGTTTTTTTTTGTATTGCAGTTTAAACAGAAAAATGTTTTGATATTTTACTGTATCTTAACAGCTTCTTTTTTTACAATTTTCAGTAATTTGTTTTAGGTGAAAACTTCTTTTTTAAATTTATGGTAAGTGATTCTATGTGGTGCAGCTTTTCTATAATTTATGGTAATTTGTTTCCAGTGGTGTATAATTTCATCAATTCCTGGTAATTAGTTATGTTAAGTTTAACTGTGCACATTTTTTGTGGCACTGCTTTTTTACAACTCAGGTAAATCATTTTATGTTGCACATCTTTTCTACAATTTTTAGCCATTTATTTTATGCGGCACTGTTGGTTTTAAGCTTGTGGTAAGTACAAAGTATGTATTTTTATGGCAAAAATATCTTTAGAGGAACTCCTGTAAATGCAAGTACAGTAAATAATTAAAAAACATTTTCAATGGAAATAAAGACAGTGTTGTTCAAAGACAAACTTTATATTTGATTCAAGGTCAAGCATTCTAGGCCAAAGTTAAAAACTTAAGTTAATCTGATTACAAATTACAAAGTTGAAGCCATTTTTGTCAAACCTTAAAAAATAGCATTATGCCTAATTTTACACATTTCAGTATCTTCCATGACCGTAAATGGGCTGTGCCCTTGTAGTGCTTTTCTATCTACAGTCTGTGCCCTCCTGTACATTCATGTATGATGGTGTTGACAAGAACAGCTAATCAACATGAGCAAACACAGGAACGTCTACATCTTAGTTAATTTAATGTGGTAGTAACGGAGTCATTCACAAAACTTTTGACAAGATTTGACAAATCTTGTGACATTACAGAAGATTGTGCACAATGTTGTTTCAAGGTTTGATTAAAATGGTTACAACTTTGCCATTTATTTCCCAGTCTAAAACTTAGGATCTTAGTATAAAGATTTCAAGAACTACATTTCTATTATTGTTTTTACAGCCTGGGTCAGTTAAATACTGACTCTTGACTTTGTGCATGAAAGACAGATCAGTTAAAAATATAAATAGCTTATGTACTTATTAAGGAAATGTAAGATTTCCTACACTTAAAGCCCCAAGATTTTAGGGCTTTAGGTGTACAACATGACCAAGTTTGTGATAGAATATTTGGAATAGAGACTAAAACTTTGATCACGACAGAATTATGCTCTGTAGGATCGGCAACATTCCAGTAAAATAATGGTTATGACATTATTTATTTATTTGACCTTTATATTATTAATTTTGAAAATTAAATTAAATTAAATCAGTGTGGTGTGAAAGTTTGGGCAGCCTTGTTAATTTTCCTGATTTACCTTTTTTAAAATCATTGATTGTTTGGATAAAAAAGACATCAGTTAAATATATGGGACAAACATAGTGATATTTGATAAGTGAAATGATATTTAAATTAATTACAGAAAGTGTGCAATAATTGGTTAAAAAATTGGGCAGGTGCATAAATTTGGGCACTGTTGTCATTTTATTGATTTCATAATTTTTAGAACTAACTAATGGAACTCAAATTTGGTTTGGTAAGTTCAGTGACCCTTGACCTCCAATGATGGTCACCTCCAGGTGACTCCAAGTATGAGAAAGGGTAGGGTATTTAAGGGGGGCAAGTTTTTCTCCTCTTTGCATCTTCTCTGAAGAGTTGCAGCATGGGTCTCAAAACAACTTTCAAATGAGCTGAAAACAAAGATTGTTCACCATCATGGTTTAGGGGAAGAATACAGAAAACCACCACCACCACCCACTGGAACACAAGTTAGGAGTTATCAGGACTCTGTACCACAGAGCAGACAGTGTCCCTACAAACCCAGGAGCCAGGCAGAAAGAGAAATCACACACATGATAGGCCCTGGAGCAGTGTGGTTATCCTGACTGGGCTTTCAGAGATTTCAGCTTTCAGTCTCCACTGTGAGAAACGTGAGAAAATGGAGGACCACAGGCATAGCTCAAGTCAAGTATCGAAGTGGCAGACCAAGAAAAATCTCTAATAAACAGAAGCGAAGGATGTTGAGAACAGTCAGAGTCAACCCCCAGACTAACATCAAAGACCTACATCATCATCTTGCTGCTGATGGAGTCACTGTGCATCGTTCACCTATTCAGCACACTTTACACAAGGAGATGCTGTATGGGAGAGTGATGCAGAGGAAGACTTTTCTCCACTCACATCACAAACAGACCCACTTGAGGTATGCTAAAGCACATTTGGACAAGCCAGCTTCATTTTGGAATAAAGTGCTGTGGACTGATGAAACTAAAATAGAGTTATTTGGGCAGAACAAGGGTCGTTCTGCATGGAGGAAAAAGAACACAGCACTCCAAGAAAAACACCTGATACCTCCAGTAAAATTTGGTGGTGGTTCCATCATGCTGTGGGGCTGTGTGACCAGTACAGGGACTGGGATTCTTGTTAAAGTTCAGGAACGCATGGATTCCAATCAATATCAGCAGATTCTGGAGACCAATGTCCAGGAATCAGTGACAAAGCCGAAGCTGCTGAAGCCGGGGCTGGATCTTCCAACAAGACAACCACCCTAAACACTGCTCAAAATCTACTAAGGCATTCATGCCGAGGAACAAGTACAACATTCTGGAATGGCCATCTCAGTCCCCAGACCTGAATATTATTGAAAATCTGTGGTGTCACTTAACGCTTGTATTATGTTTCAGGTCAATTTGACCCATTTCAGTTTTTGTGTTGACCAAAAACAATGAAATTTTATGACTTTTCCCCATCTAGGGTCATGAACTGCTGTGTAAAATCTGAACACTTTGATGGGTCATGGAGTGTCTGTACAAAGTTTGTTTACAAAGATGATGTTGCGGGTCATTTTGACCCAGACAATCTAAAATAAACATGTCTCTTTGATATACATTATTTTGATTGCCTTTGAATAGCCTGGAGGAGGGACTTTATTTCCCCTGTCCTTGTCACTGTGTCCATTCTCTTTCTTTGAGAAATGCACTAAAAATGTGCACCAGACGATTTACAGTTGAAGAAGCTGTATTGCAGCCTATGAACTTGGATAGTGATGTAGATAAAAATATTTCATAGATATATCCTTCAGAGCCAGATGACAATGCTATTGATGATCCAGGTTATCAATTTTCCCATGATGAGGAGTATTCAGAGGATGAGTTTGCCGGTGTGTCTTCATCATAAGAAAACCAAGAAACACAAAAATTGTCATCCACAGAGGGGACATGAACATCCAAAGATGGTAAAATAAAATTGTCAACATCACCACACCAAAGCCAAGGCAGATTGTCATTTAATGTCATCAAAATGACTCTTGATCCGACAAGATTTGCCGTCACAAGAGTTGATGATATTGAATCAGCATTTCAGTTCTTCATATCCGAACCCATAGAGAAGATAATCCTTGACATGACCAATTTGGAGGGGCGGAGTATCTTTCAAGAAAAATGGAAGCCACTGGATCCAACTGACTTGACTTGTCGTCAAGAGAAAGACAAACTTGGAGCAATCAGAGATGTCTGGGATAAATGGGTCGAAATCCTGCTTTTATTGTATAATCCTGGCCTCATTCCTTTGAAAAGATGCTGTCCATTCCGACAGTATATGCCAAACAAACCTGCAAAATATGGCATAAAATTTTGGGCAGTTTGTGATGCAAAATCCAGTTATGTGTGGAACCTGCAAGTATATACTGGAAAGCCACCCAGAGGGGCACCTGATGAAAATCAGGGTATGTGTGTGGTATTGGAGATGACGGAAGGACTGCAAGGTTCTTTACATCCTACCGTCTTGGAGAAGAACTTCAGGAGAGAACGCTGTTAGGAACACTCAGAAAAAATAAGCTAGAACTTCCCAGTAAGAATCTGAAGGTGCAAGGAAGACCTAAATACTCTAAAATAAAGTTTTTTTTGTTTGTTTAATTTCATTTTTGACTGTTTTGAGTGAATTTACAAAACACGGGTCAAAATGACCCGTAACATAACAAACATATTTTTTCTCAACATAATACAGGGGTTAAAGAGAGCTGTCCATTCTCAGAAACCATCAAACCTGAATGAAGTAGAGATGTTTTGTAAAGAAGAATGGTCTAAAATACCTTCAGCCACAATCCAGACTCTCATTAGAAGCTGTAGGAAGTGTTTAGAGAATGTTATTTCTGTGAAAAGAGGATCTACTAAATATTGAGTTAAGTGTTTGTTTAGTTTAGTTTAGTTTAGTTTTGTTTTGGTGCCCAAATTTATGCACATGCCTAATTTTGTTTAATCGATTATTGCACACTTTCAGTAAATCATATAAACTTCATTTCACTTCTCACTGTGTTTGTCCCCTACATAATGTATTTTACAGTTTTTTTTTATCCAAACAACCAATGATTTATAAAGGTAAATCAGGAAAATTAACAATGCTGCCCAAATTTTCACACAACCCTGTATGCATATACACGAGAATGCAAACAAGTGTACAACATAGCAATCATCAGTCAATATTTTTTCTTAAAGGAGTGGGAATTTAACCAGGTTTTTCAGTTGAGAAAGCATTCTCATTTACAATGATCAGGCCAAGAGGCA